TTTTTATCTTTTGCGATAAAGTAGAAGGTGTTCATATGAATTCCGTTTTTTGACTGTAAAATTATTATTTTTTTTTTCATTTTTCATCAGCTCAAAGTGCCTGTAGCGACTCACCTTGCTTGAATGGGGCAGCTTGCAACGTCGTTTCTTCCAATGCGTACTCGTGTACCTGTACACCTGGTTATGGTGGTCTTAACTGTGGAGAAGGTATTACATAAAATGTTTTTATTAACGGGCATAACTGTGTACCCACACTAACCACCCCGAAGGCCTGTTTATACTTCAACGATAACGATAACGATAAAAAAGCTAAAAAGCAATTGTTCATATAGAAAATGAAAGAAATAAGAGAAGTTTTTACACTAGAACGATTCGATAAAGATTTATATTTTTTTGAAAAATCAAATCAGATGAAGTCATCATCATTCCTGATGATGACATAATTAATGTCGAAATATTTAATCCCAACACGATGGCGTGTATTTCAATACTTGGAGTATGTATTATACTTTCTTAGATGAAGTCATAATCATGGAAAAACATTAAAATCGTAGTAGTAGCAACGATTTTATCGTTTTTCCGTGATTATGACGTCATGTGATAACTTATCTTATTTCTTTTGTTTTCTGTATTACAATGAGTCGCTGTTTAGCTTTTTTATCGTTATCGTTGAAGTATAAACAGGCCTTTATAAAACAACTATGTACCCCTTTTTGTTTAAACATGCTACATACTTATTTCAACGTCCAACACAGAGGAATTTGTTTCCCATACAAAATGGTTAATTAACCAACGTAAATCAGAATCATAATCATTATTTTCCACTTCTTACAAAATACACAATACAATGTACATAGTAACAACATCGCCGAGATATGACTGGGGGAGGCTAAATAAGTTATTAGTATAATACACAGCTACTTTAAGCTATTTCCCCCTGGTACATAATTCGAATTACATACAAGTAATAATTAAAAATACACAAAAAAATTAAAAATAATTATCTGGTATTCTGACAAAGATGGTGAGAGTGGAGATGATCTTATTTTCCGTGTGGGTTCTAAGCTATTAAACTGTGCACGCTTGTGTAGGCCTAGCTCTAAACATACCCTGTTTACTCTCCTTCACAGCATCAAATACGTACTGTCTAGTCTTCAGTCCATGTTCAAGCACACTGCAACAATGTACACTATCTGGCAATTGGTATAGGTGTGTGTAATCAGGACAAGTTATAATGTCAAGGTAAGGAGAATGAAACGAAAATAATAAAAACAAAATAGCGTTTTTGCCTTATCGAGTACTCCCAGTCCTTTTTAAAAAATTATATATACCTTGACCAGGAACCGTTTCCGTTTTCCTATAAACATTATACGGTATGCCTTATTTAGTCAATATTCACTTATATTTGGCATTTCATTATTATTATTTTTTGGAGGGTGGGGGTTAGGGTTAGAATTATATATGTTTGCTTTTACAATTATTAAAAATCGCCTTTTTCCCTAAACTAAATTTTGACTTGTAATTGATGTCGAATCTGTAAGTCCCAACAAATTATTATTTTATTCAATTCTCTGACAGATCAGAGCATTATAAACAAAGTACTAACATTAAACATATTATGCATGGATAACAAGTTAACAATCGAGTCGTTGTTAGTGGTTAGTGTATTTTTCTCCAAACCCAATGCCTTGGATTCGGATATGTCGAAACATATAATATGTAAACAGATATTTTTTTTTTTGTTGCAAAAATGCAATATTAATTATAATGTTTTCCTTTGATTTTCAGGACTGAGAGAGAAACCTGCGCATTGATTTTTTTAAATTATATATACCTTGAACAGGAACCGTTACCGTTTTCCTATATACATATATATTTTAGGTTATATTAAAAAGTAATTTTAGCCGAATAACAAACCATTATTTAGTTCCCTTATACTAAAGTGAGATACCTCCTATTGTATTACTATGATTAAGTATAAATATATATTTTAGTATTTTACGGCTTTAGCGACATAATTTTAAAGAATTTTAGAAAAGCTATCTCAGAAAAATCTTTCAAATTGTATGTTAAATATGAATTTTCGATTAACTTACTGTACCTATATTTTGTCACGTGTATGATACTTATATCCAGTATAGCAAATTTAGAGCTTTTCATAGGATATGTAGAAACGCAATGCGTTAAACTTAGACCTAGATTAGTATAGGTCTGTTTATGTTTTTAAAAACATGTATTATTTTTTATACGTATATTAAGTACCGGTATATATATAAAAAGTGGGCAATTAATTCACGTCATTATATAACAAACTAATTATCAGAAGTAACCATTAAACTATGATGAGATAATAAAGTTTTTTTAGCTTTATTATTTGTGTGTGCTGGCGAATTGCAATTTTGGATTATTTTTACAAAAATGGTGTATTTATTCACTTTTGCAGCAAAATTGTATAAACAAAAATAATTATATATATTATAGATTACATCAGTGTTGATGGCGATACTTTTGATGAAGAGAACAATTTAATCCATCGTTAGAGTGGAGCCTTCGATTGCACGACGCGGTAGGACGTAGAACGTAAAGGCGTCACGAAGAAGTCATCTGCGCATGCGAGAACGAGGTTCTCTTGGACACAATAAGCCAAAGTAGTTAGATCTGCTTATGCTTGAACGTTAGGTTCTCCTGGACGCAATAAGCCAAAGTAGTTAGATCTTGCTTATGCTTGTATCAAAGCCAGTCGACATAAAAACCAAAAACACAACATAGGTTTATGTCGATTGTCCTTGGATACGAGCATGCGCAGTTCTAACTGCGAACTGGTTTTTTAAAACCAAATTTGCTGAGATGGATGGATGGTCACGCACGAGCGATTCCGATTCCAGGTCGCGCAAATCGAAAGCTCCCTATACTATACCAAAAGACTACACATTAAAATGATATGTTTGTCATTCTGAAATCTTAATATTTTCAGTTTCATGAAAGAGTAGACACACTGTTTATCTCTCTTTTCAAACGTAGCGCGTAACCTATGCTTTGTACTCTCGCGAAAATGATAAGAAAAAACCTGAAGATAATGATTACAATGACGATAATGGGAGCTTTCGATTTGCGCGACGACGCGATGCTAGAACGGAATCACGCATGCGTGACCGTCCTACATTCTCTGCATACGTAGATTTGGCAGCGTCTCACGCATGCGTGACCGTCCTACATTCTGCATACGTAGATTTGGCAGCGTCTTATAATCCACGCGACGAGGAGAACTTAACCTTCTCGAATTTGCAGATGACTTTTAGTGACGTCATCTACGTCGTCGCGCAATCGAAGCTCCATAATAACTATGATGATGAAGATGCCAAAATGTGATGATGGTGTTGGTAGCGATGCCTGTGATTGTGATTGGGGCAGACGATGGCTGCCATGATGGTGATGGTATGCAGGCAATGACGATGACGTGAATGTAAATAGTGACTATCATAATAAAGCAGAAGACAAAAAAGATGGTAATGGATTGATGATTGTGGAGATGCCGATGCTTTATATGCTGTTCTATTGGCTGATCACGATGATAAAACTAAAATTGAAAAGTCATCATGGTGTTTATGATTAGATGCTATGATATAGGTGATGACGACAACAATAATGATGAGGAAGAAGGAGCCATGCTTATGAGGGATGCATCTAATGGCGTTGCTGCAACTGTTCTTGTTTTTTGCTTTTCCTAATGACATTAATGATTGCGGCGATGGTTTAATGAATTTGTTATCAATATCATTTTGATAAAATCACAAAAGATTTTTCACTTTAAAACTTTCATAAGTTTATCTCAACACCATTTGAATAACGTCATAAAATATTTAAAGTGAGAAATATATAGCGAAAAATGCGAAATAGCATTACTGAACGAAAAATACCTACTTTACCACTCCCATGTTTTGCTTATTGCTGCAATCCACAAACCCAGTCAACCCACATTAAATAAACATTCCCGGCATTGCAACCATTGTTCCGTTTCTGAGTATAGCGCGAGCTTATTTATAATGGGTACACGGATGAGCTTAAGCTGCTGATTCACTTATAAACCCTAACTGTTGCCACCATAATAATAGTAATATAATCCAAATTTCATGTAAACGTCATTCTGACAATCAAGTAGCTTACTTTTGTAAACAATGAATAACATCATAATGGAAAGAACACTATAGACATTTCCGCTAAACCCCGCCCCTTGGATACCGTATTGTTGCTAAGGTTTCACAAACTGCAGTGTCAGAAGATACGCAAACACATGCGTTTGTGGGAAAACACGTGTGCTTCTTAGACACGCGCGTATTCCTAGCCCAGTTTTGATTGGTCAGCTGTTAAGTTTAATTGACACTCCGGAAAGGTCCAAAAGTATAATACATGTAAACATTATTATTCAGGTTTCGCCTACGTACCCTTTAAATTTAATTTACCTTAAACATTTTCAGTTAACAAGAGGACATTTTCGATGAACCTCATTAAGCCTAAATAAAATATTAAATATAAATATAATAAAGTTAATAAGAAAAGAATTTAATGAAAAAAGATTTAATAAGGATCAGCAAAGATGGCAATGAACGTCAGGTTTTGTTTAATGTCCATCGTAATCATAAGTAATTCATTTACACGATGGCGTGTATTTCAATACTTGAAGTATGTATTATACTTTCTTACCTATTTAGATTCGTGTCGCTTTTGGCGTGAATATCTTTTTCATTCATTTGAAGGAGTAAGCCTACCACACTACATGAAATTTTTAAAAGGTGAATAGGCCCTATTTGTTCCGTGTATGTTGATCCCGCAACAAACGAAACGAAACTTGTCTTCCAGTGTACTATTTTAAATCCTGGGTGCATACCTGCTAACAATTACACAAAACACACCTGATTGGATTGGGCGCATCACATGTCAATGCTGAGATTTCCAAGGACTTAACATATTGAGCCACCAACTTTTCTGTTTATCAAGACAACACGATATGATACACAGGCATACCGTATGAGCTTCTCGTACAGAACTAACATGCAGTTAGGATTTCTTTGGGATACAGAGAGTTTGTGTGTGGCTTCAATTCCAAAATGTGCTTGAAGATGTTGATTGCTGCTATCCTACTATCATTCGTTTCCTCTGTAATTGGACAAGTTGGTGAGTTTTACATTTTGCGGTGTAAGAATTATTTTTCTACTTTTTGAGATGTTTTATATTTAAGTCTGAATCTTATTGCGTATATGCATGCATAAAGTATACAGAGCCTGCATTTACATAGCAGCCCTTCTGGGCCGGAGTCTGAGGGCGGCGCTTCTGCGATATGAGCATTATTAATGCTATTTCAATGACATTTTAAAGCACCTACTCACAGCCTCGTAAAAGAGGCTGTGAGTAGGTGTTTTAATGCAAATACTCTCAGTAGGCCTATTTATTTATTTATTTTATTTCTTTTAAATTTTAAATTTTTTTCTGTTTTCTCATATCTCATTTCGAAGACACACATTGAAACAATTTCACCGACGCAGCGGTGACATAACACATTGCTAGTTCAAAACAAAGAGACCTATTTATACCGGCACTTTGATTTCTAATTGGCAAAGTTATAAATTCGAATGAACATTAAGAACTTTCAGTTGTATATAAAAAATACATTTTAAAAAAATATAAAAAATTTTTTTTAAGTCTCGTCTTCTACTCGAGAAAATACGGTATAGTTTGTTACCGTACGTTTTAATATACGTATTTACGGTTCTACAAAAAAACGTTGTGAGCACCAAACTGCAAATTTATCATAACGGAAAATGGTTAGCGATTACAGCGTGGATACACTATATGAAGCTGAACAATATAATCTCAAACCCCGATCTGGGTTAGCATATTGTAATCTGATTTTTTTTTATAGGTCCCGTTATTAAAGATACTCAGAAAAAAATGTGTAATATTAATAATAATAATAATAATAATAATAATAATAATAATAATAATAATAATAATAAATTATTATTAATATTATTATTATAGGCCTATTAATATTATAATACTGTAATAAAATTTATAAAGCGCACAAATCCACTGCAGTAGTGCTCAAGGAGTAATTATATAAATGAATCATAATTTTTATAGAATCATCTACTTTATGTGAAATATTTTAGATTCCTTCTACACACTATTAAATTTCTATGTAAGCTTTTTCGTGAACAGATTAATGAGGTGAAATACAGTAACGACAATTTGGTGGAAATTACAACCAAATGATTTGATGATACGCTTTGTGTGAAATCGCTTTGAGCAGTGTTTTTTTTAAGTGTGCGCTTTACAAAACCTACATCATTATTATTATTACTTCTACCAAAATATGGATTTTGAATAGATTATCGACAATTAAGATAATTATTCATGCAATAAGTAAAGTGTGCGAGTCGAAGAAATTCCACCTTATTGACTACGTTTAAACGAAACAACCGATGCGATTTAAAAGGTTGATCTATGGAAAAAAATAGAGTACATCAAATTAAGGCTGCTGTTTATGACAATGGTTACAATATTCGCATTTTAAAAAATAGTTATTGATAACCGTTTTTTGTATGATTCCAATACTAGTGTAATCTGAGACTACACAGTTATCCCATGTGTAATGTAAGAAAAACACGGCCCTTCCATTCGTTGATCTATCCATCCATATATTCAATTATTCATTCATTCGTCTGTTCGTCCTGTTTATCCGGCCGTCCCTTAATCTATTCATCCTTTCATCATCCCTCCATCCACTGGTCTGTCCGTTGATTGATTGATCGAACGATCGATCCATTCATCCACCATCCTTGCATTCCAAGAGGATCTTAGTACGTTTTGAAAAAAATCCCTATTGGGCATTTGCGTCAGTGTACGTCAATCTACGTGAATAGGCCTACTCATCATCATAATTTGAGTAGCACTAGGGACAAAATGTTTGTTAAGATTTACCAAACAGACGCCTGCACAAATCTGAAAGAAATATCGTACCAACATCCTTTTGGGTATCTCACCATTCAGAGATTTTTTTGGTTTCCTAATTCAATTAAACTATCGTAAAATAACAATTTTACACCAATTCGAATCTACAAAGTATTGAACGAGGGGTTGTCAAACTACAAAGCAATACATGCAAGAATTCATTGTTTAAATTAAATATATAGTATGAAATGACCATAGGAACCTCGAAATGTTAACCCCAAAAATATAAGTCAAATAACAACGAGAAGGCAGCCTTTTCGCGAGTATTCCTAATAAAAGTAAAGGCTGCTCGTTAGCTACGATTGCTCCGAATTTTCCAGCTACAAAGGTTAATTGAACTTAGAACCACACTGCATTTTTAGGTAGGCCTATTACCTGTATCTATTGCCCAGTGGAGGTGTTCTTGGATCCCTATTTTTCTAATTTCCGTTTTGTTTGTTTCTTTTTGTTTATAGAATAGGCTAGCTAGATGCCATAATCATTTGAGCAAATGCGAGTTTCGATCTTGCAAACCAACTTTTGTCAGGTTTCAAATTGCAAGAAAACGATGCAATGGTGATGGTTCCTCTGCAGCAATCTGTTATTGATTTCTGAGTTCTTGGTATCTTGGGTTTTGTTTTTGTTTTATGATACATCAGCACATAAATACCATGTATTATGTGCTATACAAGTCACCGATCCCCTACCATTACCGTTACAATAATGTGTGATACTGTACGAAGGCAGTGTACCTCTGCGGAACATTAAAACCTTTTTGATTATGCAGACATCGTCGTGAAGTAAAGTACACTATCAACACATTACTATGGCTTAGGAGGATAAGCTTATAGTTATAAATAGTGATGGTAAAGCATATGTTCACTATGAATATTCTTTCGACCATGAAGTTAAAGGTTAGGGTAAAGCCTACTCCAACAATAAACACCTCGGATTTACTTAAAAATCGTCTGAACAATATTCGTCTCGATGTTTGCTCAGAATCTTGTTGGAAGAATACTATATTCATTACTACTAATGCCCTTATTGTATGCTGATAAACAGATATGTCGCCTGCTTAATGTTTCAAAGGTTTACTACAGTACTAAAGTTGTGGTTTCTTAGAAATCTTCATTGATCCGTTATGGTGTTATCACTATTTTGCCGTCTGGAAAAATGAGACTATTACAAGTACACAACTTCTTTGCTTAACAGGCAATCTAATCTATCGTTGAAATTATTTTGCAGTACTAGTCTTACTAATTTTATTACCATTTCATTTTGTTAATTGTTTTTTTCTTTCGGCTGGATATCCTCTTATAAATCGTCTATCTCTACTATTTCCACTGCCATAATAATATCTAATCTGCCGCATTTATTACACACATTAAAATCCGATTGGCACTTTTAGTGGTTAAAGAGATGAGATTCACAACTATTTGTCTTATGTTAATACTGATTCACCATATTTATATAAATCACATGTTCCGTTATATGGGCCTATTATAATTATAACACGTCAGTACCACAGATTTATACTTGACTGACAATATTCGAATAAATAAGCCTTTCAAATCCCTAAATTTTCATAACCTCCTGGAGCCTTAGCGACTCATGACCACACCGACTTACGCTTCTGTCGGGGACAAACTCCCCCCCCCCCACACTGCAGTTGGAGACATCTGACGCTTCTGTCGGGGACAAACTCCCCCCCCCCCACACTGCAGTTGGAGACATCTGCCCCGTCGAGCAAATCCTGTTGCCAAACTTGAATCTGTATTCTATAGAAGAGGACGAGGGCACTACTCATTTAAGGCAAATGCGGATAAACACCGAACTTTTTAGAGTTCTGTAGAAAGCTTTCTTACATCTTCTTGATGTCTTTTTCCTAATGACGTAATTCCGACAAGGAAAACGACGATTCAAAATAAAGAATGCTAGACAGCGTATAAATTGTATTGTCGAAACCTGAGAGCATGCGCGATGCAAAAACTCAAAATCCACAAGGTGCGAAAAAACTTTATGTGCTGTAGCCTACAGTGTTCCTCTGAAGTCTTCAGTGTGGGGACTGTAACCAATGGTGCTAACAGTGTGTTCCAAATTCTGAGAGTTCTGAGAGGCATCGAGGGCCTATTTTTCAGGGTCTTAACATCCTGGACGTTTTCCTTGAATTCAGTATATTCAGAACATAACGCAAAGAACATAATACACATATTTATACGTGATTAAAAAATATAATAATATCTGTGTAAACATTTTATGCATACACATTTTTTTATACATATATTTTAGTAACCTGTGGATTGAATTACGGAACATGTCCTAACGATGGAACCTGCATCAGTTCCGGCACTGCTTTCAAATGCCAGGGTACGTTTAAACAGCGTTAAATATTAAAATACACCCTCATCGATGTAAAAAGTTTATCCGTTGTTGAGAATGATACTTTGAAATTTAGACATTGTAGTCACGCCAAATGTACCGTATCTTTTAAAGGTAGTTAGACAAAAATTTAAAATAAATACTTATTTGTAAATATCAATATACAGGAATTTATACATATTCGTATTAACTATACTTTTTGAATAAAGATGTATAACTTAATACATCTAATATTGTAAATTCTCAGGTGATCCATGTTCCTCTAACCCTTGTCTTAATGGTGGTACATGTACTAACACTGACAATGGAGGAGCATATTCGTGCAACTGTAACACTGCTTATAAGGGCCTCAACTGCAACATGCCTGTGGGTAAGTGGAAATCATTTTTTTTTTATCTCTCTCTCTCTCTCTCTCTCACCCTCCACCCCCTCTCTCTCTTTTCTTTCATTTTATTCAATATAACATTTTTAATGGACATATGTAAACGGATATACAAAATTAACACAATTTAACTTTTTTATATTACTTTCGATCATGTAATTAAGGTGAAACTTTCAGTTAAGCAGTGACCTACTCAATAAATATTTTATATAGTTTGAAAATAATATACAGTATTTGGCCACAATATGATCCAAAATGTTATTATTACACGACAATAGTAAAACATTTTTCTCTACTTTCCTTTTCCATATTACAACAAAGTACATTTATAACTATTTTGATACATATTCAAACTAATACAGCTATGAATTACCCTGTATTCTAACCATCTAAGTTTTGTATTAGTGTTGTGCATTTAAAATGTACCGTATGTTTGAAACAACAGTCCAATCACATGAATATGATGAATATATTCTTTTTGCTTACTAATTTTGTTTTGTCCAAAAATATTGTCCGAAACAAAAGAAAATACATTATATGATATATATTTCCAAATATTCTGTATTATAATGGATAGTATAACGTGTAGAAATCTGTATTCATTATTATCAAATAGTATGCATTCTATTAGAAATAAATATGATTTGAATTTTGTTGATGAATTTTATGCATTTCAATTAATAAATCATCTTGTAATTTTATATCCAATTAAGGGTATAATTAAATATAATTCAATTTACCCTATTATAAATCACATTGAGACAAAAAATATAC